CCTCAGATTGGAGTTACATAGGGCAGAGCCATGCCCTATGCAGTCTGAGAACTCAGTTTTTGCTCACAAAGAAGTTCCTAAAGGTTTGTTTTGGGCTTGAGGACAAAAACAGAGACAGAGCTCAGGTAATGTTGTTATGTGGCATCAAGTTGACTATGACTCATAGTGACCCAAAGCACAACAGTTTTGAACTCTGCTCTATCCTGAGCCAGTCTCACTGTCTCTGACACACCTACTTCATTCCTCCAGTTATTGTGTCCATCCATCTCATCCAGTGTCTTCCTCTCCATGCTGTCCCTCTACCCTTCCAAGCATGATGTCCTCTTCTAAAGACTGGTCCCTCTTGGCTTCATGGAATCTCAAAATTCTTGCCTCCAAGGAGCTGCTTGGTTTCACCCTCTCTAGGACAGATTTGCTCATTCTCTCAGATAAAACATACTTGTGAGATTTTAGTACAATTCTAGATGTTTTCACTTCTCAGATTTATTATTAATGCCAAAGTCATAGGCATTCATGACTATTTCCATAAACAAGTTATGGTGGAAATGAAAAGTCTTGCTCCTTTTCATTCATTTCAGAGAATCATAATTTATTTAACAGATAAGTGGAGCCCCAATTAGTAATAAAAGAAGCAAAAGAAAATGGAAAGAGCTCTTTGGCAACTATACAGATGTGCAATATTAAACTGTAGCTTGTGTTAGTTAAAGGTGGCATTGCAGCCTACCTCTGGTGGTTGTTGTTGTTGTGTGTCATGGAGTTGGAACTGACTCATGACTGGTCGACCAGTGAGTTTTCAGATGCAGTAAATTGCATGGGAAGAGATTACCCATCCTTCTCCCATGGAGCAACTGTTGGATTCAAACCTCGTGTCTTTGGGATTGCAGCATAGCTTCTTACCTTTAGGCTATCAAATTCTATTAGTCTTTGTATTTACTACTTAGAACTAAGTGGTGGGAATTAAAGTCCAGCAGCTGAACAGAGGGTTCAATCAAGAGGGATATTTAGAAAGAAATACAGATGTCAGCACTTGCAAACTCACTTCCAGGACTAAAGTACTTAGAGAATTGGTCACAATTTAAACTATCTGCTTTCTTTATTTTTAGTTTGAAGTGTTAGTGGCTGTATTGTCACAGAACATATTACACTAATACAATGATAAGAGCATCAGGAAAGCAGGATTCACTCTGTAGAGACCCATTCTACTTCTCACATGATTAATGAGTCTATTCCAGAAAGCAGAGGATTATAACAGACAAATAAGAGCAGCCATTATTTTTTTCTATGCCATTTTAAATTCTTTTCTGGAACTTTCCTGGCAATTCCACTACCATTTCCCCCCATTTCTTTCATTTGTATGGGCATCCTGGAGTCACATTTATAGCCCTCTAAGAATGAAGCTATGGTCTCAGAGAGAACCTGGTGTTGGAAGTGTATTAGGGAACAGAAGTGGCCAGTTTTGATTATGTGATGGGAGTAGTGGCAGGAGTTCCAAATGTCAACATCCTCAAGTTCATGTCTGTCTCAATTTTTCACTGAGGAGGAGTCTTGCTTACGTATAGGACATAAATGTAACAAATTGTGCTCTCATCCTGTAGAGAACAAAGCTAACCTGAGGCTCTTACTAAAAACCAAAGCAATTGCCATTGAGTTGATTCCAACCAGATTTCCAAAATTATAAATCGTTATGGGGAGAGATTGCTGATCTTTCTTTCTCAGAATAGCTGGTAGATTCGAACCACTGACCTTTAGTTAGCAGTGCAACATGTACTAGTCTTGCAGAATCTAGGGTTTTTAGAGACCAACAATTCTACTCATCTTTCTCCACTTTGTGGATGGAGACACTGGGACCCCCACACTAGTGAAGGGCTAGTATCACATGGTAGGTCAGAATCAAGGGGAGAGCCTTGAGACTCGTGACTGCCAGCCTTGAACTGCTCTAGAAGCTCTTTCCATAGAGCTTCCAGGAAAGGGAAAGCCTTCTCGGGTGGAGACTGTCAATTTTGCCAAAAAGGAAGTGAGCACTGGGAGTGCTCCACCCTGAGGCTCTGTGGGGAAGGCAGAAGGCCTGGAGCTTTTTCTGGTAACCCAAAGCACTTCTAGGGAGCCTGTCCTCTCTTAGCCATGGGTAAGCAAATCAGGACCTCATAAGAAATCATATGTTTTACCTTTTGAAGAAGCACCTGGAAATAATTACTCCAAAAAGATAATGAATCACTAAAATCTCAACACATGACCCCTGAGACCAGAATTAGATGGCGCCTGGCAGCCACTATTGAATGCTTGGGAAGTGAATGCATTAGAAGGTCCTGGAGAGTGGAAGACAATAGTGGAATAAAACTCAAAACTTAAAAAAAACACACCCAAACTAGGTTTACTGGTCATATAGAGGCTGCTGGAACCCCTGATGATGTTTACTTACCTTTCAAGTCTGAAACTGGACTCATCCCTATTGATTAATTTCCAGCTGAAAAATAGACAAGTCTATAAGGTGTCCAACAATGTTGTTGTTGTTGTTGTTGTTGTTATGTGCCCTTGAGTCAAGTATGGCTCATAGTGACCCTGTGAATAAAAGATATGAACCCAGTCCTGTCCTGCGTCATCCTCACACTTCCTGACACACAGGAGCCCATTGCAGCAGTCACTGTGTCAATCCACCTGGTTAAGGGTCTTCTTCTCTTTTGCCAGCCCTCCACCCTTCCCAGCATCATGTCCCTCTCCAAGGAATAGCACCTCAAAGTATATGAGGTGAAGCTTCATCATTCTTGCTTTGAAAGGGCACTCTAGCTGCACCCTCTCCAAGACATATCTGTTCTCTTGGCCATCATGGGATGTTCAGTGCTCTTCTCCAACACCACAGCTCAAAGGCATCATTCTTTCTCTGTCATTGCTATTCATTGTCCAGGTCTCAGATTCATAGCTAGTAATTGGAAAGACTGAATCAGATGCACCTTAGTCCTCAAACTGACATCACTACTCCTCACTAATTTGGAAAGGTCCCTACTTTCAGTTTTTCCCAGTGCCATGCATCTCCTTATTTCCTGACTGCTTGTACCAAGGATATTAATTGTGGATCCAAGCAAGATGAAGCTGTTGACAATTTCAATCTCCTCTCCACCCATCATGACACTGCCTATTGGTCAGTGGTAAGAATCTTTGTTTTCTTGATATTGAGATGCAATCCATACTGAAGGCTACATACCTTGATTTTCTGCAACATGTACTTCAAATCCTCCTCACTTTCAGCAAGCAAGGTTGTGTCATCTGCATAATGCAGATTATTGATGAGTCTCCCTCCAATCCTAATGCCACACTCGTCTTCATCAAGTCCAGCTTCTCAGATAATTTGTTCAGCATATAGATGGAACAAGTATGGAAATAGAATACAACTCTGATGCACTCCCTTCCCGATTCCCAACCATGCGGTGCTCCCCTGCTCCGTTCACACAACAACCTCCTGATCCAGGTATAGGTTCCTAATGAACATAATCATGTGCTCTAGGATCCCCATTAGGGAAGTGCTAATTGCCTAGAACAATCAACCATTTGAGATTAAAAGGACAGCATTTGCTCAAGGACAAAGTTCATAAAGCAAGGAAAGACTAGGAATGAAGACTAAAGTAGGATTTTCCAAAGAGGGGTCTCTAGGCCATTCATGTTGGAATCACTTGAAGAACCTACTTTCCAGAAAGCATAAGGAGCTATAGGGATGGATGATGTTACACTGTTGTTGTTGTTGTTAAGTGCCGTTGAGTCGCAGGCGACTCACAGTGACCCTATAAAGGAGAGTCCTCGATGCTTTGGTGTCTCTCATCCTCTCTCCAGGTTCATAGGGTTTCCAGAGGCAAGCTATTAAGGAAGTGGATGCCACTCCTCCTTCCAAGCTTGTTTTAATCGGGGAGCTCCACCCCACTCTCTGTCCACATTGGGTGACCAACCACCATTAATGCATTTGACACATCAGTGTCACAGTGTTCAGCCTCACAGCTAGGGGGGTTATAATCACTGACATGAAACTAAATGTACATGAATCATTGAATGAGAGTCTTATTTGCTCTACAAACCTTCACAGAAGCCACAATATTTTTAAAAATGGACATTCAGTTTGTTTGGCCCATAAGGTTGGATCCCTTCCTCACTGCTTCCTTCTGGTGTTAAAATCCTTGGTTCATACAGAAAAAGAGAGAACAGACAGCAGTGAAAGAGATCCTGTCATGGTTCGAATCCACCAGATGCTCTGCTGGAGAAGGAGAGACAATCTCCTCCTGTACCAGTTGGATCCGATTTGATGGTATACACTCCCCCCCCCCCCGACAAGAGTACCTGCCAATGACTCTAAGGGAACAAACCTAGATTTAGTTGTAGGACTCAAGGAACTAAGGCTTATCGACACATACTATGACCTGGATATCCCTTAAAAACTATGTTAAGTGAAAGAAATCCATCCTCATGGCGTAAAGTCTGTTCTGACACATGGTGCCCCTCCATTGGTTTGTGAAACTTTAGGAAAGGAGACCACCTATCTTTTCCCCAAGGAGATGGCTAGTGGTTTCAAATCACTAATGTTTCGACTAGTAGTCCGACTTATAACATATCAGCGTTGCTTAAGTAAAAGAGCACACACAATCATTCATATTGTATAATTCCATTTATGTGAAGTAACTAGAGTAGAAAAACCTATAGAGGCAGAAAAAAAATTAAGTTATTGCCTAAGCCTGCGCTGGGGATAGAAGAAAGTAGGGAAAAAAATGGGGGGTGGCTATTAATGGGTACAGAAGTTATTTTGGGGTGATGAGCATGTTATACAATTAGTTGCGGTGATGTTTATACAACCTCGTGAATTTATTAAGAACCATTGAAAGTTATACTTAAACTAGAAGAGGAATTGTGTATGTGAATTCTAGTTCAATAAAGTGATTATATATTAAGAAAAGAAAGAAACAAGGCCTGAGGCCCGTGGGTTCCTGCCCACCTGCTACCCCAGCCTCGGCACAATGGGGCGTTCAGCCCTTGATGGAGAATCGCAGACGTGCCTGGACATGCTGGCAGCGGGCATGCTTCATGGTTAGCCCATACATGGGAGTGAGGTCCACCTTTATGCCTGGGGGCACGCTGAACTCCAGCCGCTGCAGCAGGATGGCTAAGAAGAGGAAGATTTCCCACTTGGCCAGGACCTCGCCGATGCACCTGCGCTTGCCCATTCCGAAGAGCATCACTTTCTCGCTCAGAGTCTTATTGATGGTGTTGCTCTTGGCAGTGAGAAATCGCTCTGGCCGGAATTCAGATGGATCCCCCCAGAGCTTCCTGCAAGAGGGACACAGGAGAGGGAGTCTTAGAGCTGGACAGGCCCTGGGAAGAAAGGCCTGGAGGAGCTTTCTGGACAAAGAGGTAAGGGATGAAGTCTTCCAGTGATTGATAAATCAAGGGAGAGTAGTGAAAGATTAGAGGAAAAGGGACCAAACTGTACTTTGATGTTTATTTTGTTAACAAAGTTCTCTCTAAAATGATTAGTTTTGGTTTTTTTTTTAATTACTAAAATGCCATTTTAACATTTAGCTTTCTAAGTTTGTGCTGTGCTTTCAATCCTTTCACAATGATTTTCTGCTCCTCAATAAAGAAAGCACGCTGGATCCTGTCACAGACACACTTAGCACATATGGAACCACTGTAGGCTCTGCTGGTATGTTTTTGGTTTTTTGTTTTGTTTTGTACAACCTCATGAGAACTTTAAGTCTCACAGCACGAATGCCTCGAAATAGGCCTGGCCACACGCCATATGCAGATTTTGATGCTCCCCAACCTTCCTAGTACACGGTAAACAATTCTACTCCCAGGGATTCAGGACAATCTAGTTTTGTTAGAGGCTGCATTGTAGGTACCCTACGACAGTAGAACACTCCAACACAGAGTATCTGGAAGAGGAAGAAGTCCCTTGAGGGGAGAAAAATAAAAGCCAATCAGAGCTTCTTAGTGTTAACTTGCTATTTGAAAGAAATAATGCTTTATTTGAAAAAAAAAAATTAAGAAAAACGTGTATCTTTACCCTATTCAACCTATGATGTAACTGGCTGTATATACCAGTTATTATTTATTGTCTTAAGGCAATTATTAATAGCATCTCCTTTCACTTTCAAAAATGTCCCGGTTTTGGATAGTAAATTTTATGATCCTACTACCTATAGACTCAACTGGGATTTCCAAAGGGAAGTCCCTGGGCCATTCATGTCAGAATCACCTGAGGTACGCACTTCACACCTACTAAAGAAGAGTCTTGGAGGGGACAGGGTCCCATCTCCTGTACATTTTTGTTGCTTTTATGCACATTAAATTTTGAGAAACACATGTCTAAAATTTTTGTTACTACACCAGGCTTGATTGCATTGGAGGCATCAATCCTTCCTTCATTAGAGAATTAGTTCTTTAGGAGAACAGATAGCTTTGCTGACTACTGACCTTGCTGCGTAGTGTTCAGTGGGGGGATGTGTACTCACTCATCATGGTTGACCTGCCACTGGTTTACAAAGATACAACACTCTTTGGGGATGTAGAAGCCATTCAGAGTTGTGTCCTTTGTTGTGCTGAGGAGAGAGAGAGAGTTCTTTCAGGCTCAGGGACTAGAAAGATGGGACATATTCCTACTTCCATCCCACCACAAAAGTCTTGTTAGCTACATTTCTATGTCTTGTGCTAGAAGGACAGGGAAGAAGTGAAATTGAAACCTCCCTTGGTTCTTGTTCACCTACATGAACAAGTGTTTCCTAAACTTGAATATTGATGCTTAGCTTTGGAACCATTCTCTGGAGCCAAGAAACAGGAGCTCCTAAACAGGCGAGAAATCATGCTTATTATTCTAGAGCTAACAAGAACAAATACAGGGAGAAGTGAATGCTCACTGACTTTCTTATTGTGAAAATCCCATGTTGTAATCAAAGACAAATGACTGTAAATTCAGTAGAAAGTTAGAAAATGAAGTCATGCCGGCTGGGTGAGTTAAGCAAAGCTCAGAGAAAAGGGAAGTGTTAGTTAGGATTGAACTTGTATAAAAGGTAGGATTCTGGTAGCTAGAGAACAGGATAAAAAGTTGTAGAAGATTCAATGCAGAAGATTCAACATAAGCAAAATTGGAGGCTGGCTGGTATATGCTTGCAAGGGCTGGAGAAGCCTATGGGATGATGTAAATGGTACTTGAAGGGAAGGAATATGAGTGTAGCTGAATATAAACTGAGGTTTCAATTGTGGCTATTTCCTGAGAGTCTTAGAAGGGTTTTCAGTTTGGTAGTTTGAGCATTTTTAAATGGGAAAGGGACAGACCAGAACTAGAGATCTATGGTAACATGGTCAAGAAAGAGATTCTAGATCTGAGTTAACTCAGGGCTGAGAAGTTCAGAGGCATAGACATGGCAAAGATTTTAGAAGTGGAGTCAGAATGGGCAATTCTCACCTGTGGGGAATGGTGAAAGGAACAAAGGAGGAGTGTCGAAACATTTCCAGGAGGAAGGCTTCCATGTAAGGCAGCTGAGGTCTGTCAGAAAGCCGGGGCTTCCTCGCCCTGCCAATCACTGTGTCTGCAGAGGACAAAGAAGGTGTAAGGGGTGCTCCAACTGCTCCAGGCATTTATGTCCCTATTCTATCATATGCCACCCTCCACAGAACAATACCTGTTTACATGTCTAAGACCTTACTGACTCCCTAGCATCTTCTGGGCAAAGGCGGACCCCTGCACACACCCAGGGCTTGATACATCATAGGGACAGAGCAGTTTAGAGATTGAACAAATTATCAAGGGCCTCAAGATTTCTGGCCAGAAGGTTCAGGGACACAACATACCCAGTTCCTTCTGGATCTTCGTCTGTATCTCAGGTTTCGTCACAAGGTACATAAGGCTCCAGGAAATGGCTGTTGTAACTGTGTCAAACCCTGGGCAGTGTAGGGTGAGTGAAGGAAGGAAGGAAGGAAGGAAGGAACAAAGAACAGCATTTACCAAGCACCCACCTTGCAGAGGCATTATTTTTCTCTGGTCCCTGTCAATGAACTTCCTAAGAACAGAGGTCAGACTTCCTCAACACTGACCTGAGTCACTGGTTTCCCAATTAGCAGCTGGAATCACAGGGGTCTAGATTTCCAGACCAGAAAAAAAATGTTATTATTCACATGGGGAATCTGAGGCCCAGAGGAGAGGGTCTTCATCAAATTTCCACTGGGAGTTGGAGGCATAACTAGGACTCAAATTCTGACACTGGGTTAGGTCTTTTTGTCCATTCTTATCTGGGGATTGACAGGTGGGTAATTTAGATTTAGGGATTGGCAAAGCTGTAGCTAAAAGGGAGCCATGGATGAATAGAGAGGCAGGGGACTTTCTCCTACCAGCCCCAAAGATGTCGTTGACAAGGTTGACAATCTTCTCCTGAGGGATTAGGCCACCGTTGACCTTGGTGCCTTTCTCGATGTGCTTGAACAGGGCACCCGTGATGTCCTGGACACTGTTCTGAAGAGTCACAAGCTTTAGACTGGCACCTCTGGGACCAAAGACTGGGCTCTTCACTTTACCCACCCCACCTAGCATGTCCCTGGGAGCCTGGGTACTACCATACCCTCTAGCTTCCGGGCCATGGATGGGGACTCATGGTTGATGCCTACAGAAGCCTTGGGTAGGCCTTAAAGGCGCCATTGCAAACTCTCTTGAGCCCTCACCTCAATGACCCAAGGGATCTCATTTCAGAGAAGGAAGAGATTGATATAAACAAAGGAAAGCAAAGGGACACCTGTGTTGGGGATTAGCCTCTGCTGGGGATCAGGTTCCATAATAACAAAGGTCTTCTCACTCATAAGAATGAACCAGACCAGGCAGGGCTTTCCCAAGATCCCACTCACATGCTTTTTCTCTCTAGGGTTTTATAACAGCCCTGAGAAAGAGGACAGAGAGATGAGGAAATTGAGTCCAAAGGAATGGCATGGCTCCAGGCCATACAACTGGTCCAGTGGGCCCCAAATCATCATGAGTACCTTAGAACTGGGTCAAGGGGCTACTCTCAGACCCTGCACCCCAAGCTCACCTTGTCAAAGTCTTGGTAGTGTTCCTGGACTGTTTTCTGCAGGAAACGTAAGAACCTCTGGTTGAAGGACTTGAACCTCTGCAAGGCGGGGTTGGGCAGGTAACGAAGGAAGGGAAAGAAGTCCACGGGGTTTCCAGAGGAAGCAGTCTCCACAAACTCATGGCTGTTCTCCACAAGGCTGAGCAGTTCCTCACTGCTCTGGGGGAAATGCTGCCCAAAGCACATGGCACCGATAACATTTGCCACTGATGATACCACATGACTGTAGGGGTCAAAGCACCCAGCCGTAGCCATCAACTCCTGCAACTTGCTGAGAAGAGCTTCAGCTTCCTTGCTCACGTGCTCCTCCAGGTAGCAGGAGGATGAAGAGGCTGGATCTGAGGCTATGGAAAAGGTGTTGAGGGCATTCTGGGCCAGACGCCGGCGGGCAGCCCACACAGGGCCAGAGTCAGGGTTGAAGGTCATGCTCTGGCCATCAGTGACCAGGGTGAAGCTGTAGAGGTCAGGTCGGCCCTTGAAGTCATCGCCCTGCCGCACCAGGGCCTGCCGGATGGTGTCCAGGCCGCTCAGTACCACCACGGGCGTGCAGCCGATGCGCACCTGCAGCACATCCCCGTACTGCTGGCTCAGCCTGGTCAGTGCCAGGTGTGGGTTTTTCCCCAGGGTCAGCACATGCCCGATCAGGGGCAAGCCCCAGGGCCCTGGGGGACTCTTTAGGTCTTTGGGGACCTGTGATTTCCAGGCCCTGACCACCCAGAATACGAAGCAGAAGATGGAGGCAGCCAGAAGGAACTCAGTGGCAGAGAAAGGAATAGATTGGAATAATGCCATCTTGACCAACTACAGAGAAAGAAGGAGGGACCAGGATGACAGTGAATTCATTCATTCACTCACTCATTCAGTCACTTACTTAATAAACACTGACATGTGTTCTGAGCTTGGCTGTCAGCTGCATATCTTAAAGTTTAAGATACATTCAATATGGATCTTGCCCTGGAGAATTCATCCTCAGTGTCTTAAGACCAAGAAAGAGCCTCCAGAGTCCCAGCTAGTGTCTGCAACCCCAACCCTGGCCTTCTCTTCTCCCCTCTCCTCTGAGGTTGGGTGGGGCAAGTAACTCCTCTAAACAAAGGAGTTGAGGGTAACATCTCTGCCAGCCCCTGAACAGTCTCAGCACTGGACATTGTGCCAGAGTTCCTGTCAGTGCTGGCTCCCTATGTCCCTATGATCCCTCCCCTACTGATACCTTCCTCATATTCATGGATAAAGACCTCCCCACACTGAACAACACTTTGGGGGCCAAAGTCTCAAAGCTGATAGAAATATCCCATGATGTCCACTTCCCCTGGGGCTCTAGAAGTACCGAGATCTCTTGATGATGTGATTATGAATGCTGAGTCCTCATTCCCTCATAGTCTAAGAGGCTGAGGTTGGGCTTCATCTAGGGCCAGGGATCCCCTCCCCATCTCTCCATTCAGTCCAAGTAAGGGTCCTTAGAGATGCCTTAGTTTAAGATGCCCATTTAAAAAGAGAGAATTAGGGCCAGAGTTGGGTGGCAAGGCTTAGGACTCAGGCCTCCTCTACCTAGCCCAGGTCCTCTCCACCCTCTATTTCCACTGGCTCCTAGAATATGGCTGGGGATCCTAGACTGGGAGATGAGATTAAGAGAGATACCTGTGGAGGCAAATGCTTGAGATCAGCAGGGTTGAGGGGACTGGTCCAGAGTTATTGGATTTGGATAAGGGAACCTTTTATAAACACCACCCCTAGTCAGATTGGCCCAGCTGTCTTGATCACCTGATCTCAGAGGCACTGAACAAAGTTGGAAGGATCAACGTTTGGCTTTGGGCCATGATCCCTCAGCTCCACCTACTACTCAGGGCCCACAAACAATTCTTTGGGGCAAGATCAAAGAGGTATCCCTGAGTCCCAAAGTCTGTTGTAGGAGGACCTGCTTTCTGAGGGCAAGGACAGCATGCTGGGTACGTAAGTTACATGCTGGGCTGTCCTGTCTTCCTCCCCAGTACAACCTCAAGGAAGAATCTTTCCCAGATACTGTGTCCAAGCAGGTCAGGAGAAGGGGTGCACTGCTGCTCTCCAGAAAGATGCTCCCTGGCCTAGCTAACATCCTGCATGAGCCTGTGGGGGCTGGACTTGTTCCATCCACCTCCAAATTTCAGCCCAAACACTGACTCTGAGAACAATGGGTGATTAAGATTCTGCATTCTAAAAAAAGAGGTCCTCTTACATTTGGCCTGCTTTGCTGTGCAAAAGAAGGTGATTTTTTTTTTTAAATGAATGAAGAGCATGTGTGAAGACTGTGGATGACAGTAATGGGAAGCTGTTTCCTTTCTTCTTCATTGGACCCCGTCGATGCAACAAAAAGGTCAAGGTTCAGGTTTAGGTTTTATAGATAATTGACATTTCTCTTTTTACTTTATTTAAGTTTCCTAATCTTACTACCTTTTATTAGCACTATATTTAATGGACAGACAAGTAGCTTATATTGCAGAAATCTTATAAGAAAATTAAGAAGCTACCAAGATATTTACAAGTACTATCTTCAGTGATGCTTCTTATTTTTATTCTGGGGTTCCAGTAAATATTTTGCTCCTGCAGCCACCACAAATGCCACAAATACCCATTTGAATCCTTTCAATACTGCACCCAGGAAGGAAACATTGTTTGCCAATCCACCCATGGATTCATTACTCTCAAAGAATCATCTTACCATAATGAATTCATTACGGCCCCATGGATCCTTTAGCCCTCATGCAGCCAACTTCTCTTGGACAGTTTCTAATGGTCTCCCTTACTTTCCATTGCTTATAATCCGGAAATTCCATTTTATGATGGCCACGTGCATGTCCGTGTCCATTTCCGGAGACCATGTCTATAGGATGAGACACCTGAAAGCAATCTGATTTCTTTTTCTTTTTTTTTTTTGAGATTGATTTTGGAATTTATTTTTTTTGTTTTTTTTTCTATATTTTATTAATTTTCATAAGCATTTACAGAGATTTTGGGTTTCCATTCATTCATTGTTGCACTATTCTCTCTACCCTCCTCCCAGTTTGTTCTTGTCCAAATGCCACAGTGCTTGTCAAAGCCAGTTCTGATTAATCTCCTTTGTCAGTGTGTCCTTTGCCATTCCCTATCACTCCTCCCTGAGAGAGACTTCACCCTGAGTCATAAGGAAAAGGGGATGGCGTATTCTCTTAGCTACTTCCTGCTGAAAAGGGACGCTGTGGGTTTCAGGGTGAAGATCTCTCACTACTCTAAAGGGCCCCTTTGGCAGTAGGAAACACATAGACTATTATGGAGATTGATTTGGGGATTTAGATGCACTCTTATTGATTGTGCTTGGCCGTACATGTTCATATCCTTGAAGATGTATCATGGGGGTGTTGCAACCTAGAAGGCACAAATTTGACTAACAAGTTATAAGTACATGAGTCCAAAAATTATGGAAAAGTAAAAGAAAAGATTCTTTCATTGTTTTACAAACCCTCCCCCAGATCCCCTCCACCATGTAGCCCTCGCTCTAGTCTCCTGTGATGACAGAAATACCTAGTTATATATCTCTTTTAAACAGTTTTCTCCCTTCTCTGTTTCAGTGCAGTATACATTATTGAACCCATCTTACTCAGTCTCTCCCCAACAGTGGCATCATGTAATATTTGTCCTTTTGTGACTGGGATATTTCACTCAGCATAATGTTCTCCAGGGGCAATCTGATTTCTGAGGACATTCAAAGACAAGCTTCCAGCAGAGCCTAGCTGGAAACAGAAGTCATCTCTCTTTTTATTTTTAATATTAAAGTTTTAAAATTCTATACAATGGACTGCTAAGAAAACTAACAGGTTCACCCTAAAGAGGGTTAAACAAGGCTGCTCCTTGGAGGCAAGGATTCTGAAGCTTTGTCTGACATACTTTGGACATGTTGCAAGGAGGGACCAGTCCTTGGAGAAGGATATCATGCGTGGGAGGGTGGAGGCACAACGCAGGAGAGGAAGACCCTCTATGAGTTGGATTGATTCAGTGACTAGGGTAATCAGGGTAGGTGTGTTGGAGACAGTGAGATCGGCACAGGATAGAGCAGGGTTTAGGGCTGTTGTACATAGGGTTGCTATGAGTCGCAGGCCAGTTGATGGCACATAATAACAAATAACAACATAAGGTATATAAGGAGAAGTGCATCTATCATAAACAGCTTGGTGATTTTTGATAGCTTTAACAGATTTGTGTAACCAACACCCAGATCAAGAAGTGGAACAATATCAGCACTTACTAGTCTCTGGATGGTGCAAACAGTTGACATATTTCACCACTAAAGAAAAGGTTGGTGAGTAAAAACCGCCAGAGGCCCCTCAGTGTTCAAAAGCATTGTCAATGTGTTCTTCTGGACGGTGAATCCTTGAAAGGCCCAGGCAAACTCTGCTTTTCTTCATGTCCATAGTCTCATAGTCTCATAGCACAGACTCACACTGGCCAGTAGTGGTCAGAACTCAGTGGCTGGCAGCTCTTTTACAACAAATATTTGCTGAATAGATTTTTGTTGTTGGGTGTTGTTGAGTCGAGTACAAACCATACCAACCGTATGAACAACAAATCTGAACCTGTCCTATCCTGTGCCACCCTCATAATTTCTGATGCACTTGAGCCCATTGTAGCAGTCACTGTGTCATTCTGTCTGTTGAGGATCTTCCTCTCTCTTGCTGACTTTCCACCTTCCCAAATCTCATGTTCCTCTCTGAGGAATAGCCTCTCCTAGCAACATGCCCAAAGTATGTGAGATGAAGCTTCCCCATCTTTGCCTCCAAGGATCAGTCTCGTTACACTTTCTCCAAGACATATTTGTTTGTTTCTTTGTCAGTCCCTGGGATATTCAGTACTCTTCTCCAACACTGAATAAATTAGTCTGCACAAATAAGTGTGCTAACCTGTTCAAGAGCTTTACCAAAATTGCTTTGGCTATTTTTGGAATTCACTTAATGAATACACAGAGTCATGGTACCAAAAAAGAATTGGTTGACATACAACCATTTCAGGAAGTAATACATGATCAAGTAGAGGAGCATGGGGTGGGGAGCAGGCACTAGGAGTTGTTGGAATACCAATCAACAAGGTGTAAAGAAAGAGATGCAGACCTAGACATGCCCACTAGGCTAGGCTAGGAATTTTGGAAGACAGCTACCTGACCAATTGACTGCAAGAGATCTATATTTGTTCCCATTCCCAAAACAGGTGATGCAGCAAAATGTGGAAATTACTGAACAATGTCATTAATATCACCTGCAAATTGATACAGTGACTGGGGTAATGGGGAATTGGTGTGTCAGAATTAGTGAGACTCACTTAGGACTGGGCAGAATTTTGAGCTGCTGTTAAGGGTTGTAGGCGACTTGATGACACATAACAAGTAAAATTTTGCTGAAGGTTATTAAAAAAAGGCTAGGACATAAAAAACAATGTATTCATATTTTGTAAATAAACTAGTAGAAAATTTAAAAAAATGCCTAGAACAGTAATCAATAGAGAACTGAGAAATTCAAGCTAGATTTAGAAGAGTTCATGGCACCAGGGATATCATTGCAGATATCGGATGGATCCTAGTTGAAAGCGGAGAATACCAGAAGAATGTTCACTTGTGTTTTATTGACTGTGTGAACAACAAATTATAGCTAACATTGAGAAGAATGGGAATTATAGAAAACTTAATTGTGCTCATGCAAAACCTATATATAGACCAAGAAGCTGTTGTCCAACAGAGAAACATGGTTTAAAATAAGGAAATATGTATCAGGCCTGTATCCTTTCTCCATAACTTT